TCCAAAACCTAAAAAACAAAAAACAAAACAAAAGAATGATGCTATGTGTCTCATCTTGTGTGTAGGACACAGAGCCTGGCACATAGTAAAAGTCAAGAAAAACTGGGTGATCTATTTACACGGGACCGCAATGATGAAACCATGAACTACGTGAAGCCCTGGCAATTATATCCACCTATTTTTTCTGTACTCCAAAAATTCTTTTAAAACACTTTTAATTAGTTAGTTGATGTTTTACAGAGCAGATCATAGTTTTTACATTTAACAATTTATACCTATTCTGATTTAACTTTTCAATCTGCAATCCCCTCAGGTACCTTCACTTACAATTTTCCCCCTTTCTCATTTCCATTCCTCCTCCTTTCTTAACCTTTGAACTTTGTCCCTGGGCAAATGCTGTCCCCTTGATCTTAAGTGGTTGATTATTCTAAGGTGGAGATGAGTCCAGTTCTGGATCTGAAGGATAAGGGCCATAATCTTGGTGGTCCTACCGGTCTGGTCTCTGCTCCACCGTGAAGTAGAGAGTTACATGGTCTAGGAACTCACGGGGACCATTCTACCCTGTCCTATAGGGTCTATGCTCTGATTCTGACTGTACTTCAACATTTCAAGTCTGCTCAGTCACTCCACAAGTGCACTTCCTTTCAGGGTGACTGTGTCCTGCCACTGAGATGATTCCTACCAACACTCATCCCTAATTTCCTGAACTCCCTTACTGCCAGGGAGACAGGGCTGACTCACAGCGACCCCCCTGTGGGCTTCCTAGACTAACTAAGAAGGTAGAAAGCCCAGTCTTTCTCCCACGGAGCAGCTGGTGGTTTCGAACTCTCAGCATGCGAACACAACCAACGTGTGAACACTACACAGGTCTTCTATTCATATCTAAGGCACAAAATAAGGTTTGCCTCAAGATCCACTATTCCTCAGGATTGCTTTTTTGGGTATCAAATCAGAGGGCGGGATCTAAGAGCTCTTGCCCATTCTGTTCCACTTGAGTCCTAGGACATGAAGTAACCGGGTGGCTTCAAGTTACATCTGAAAAATGGGTGAAAGCCACTATCCCCCTCTGCTACTCCAGAGGTTTTGAGATATGTTCAAGAGAGAACGAAGAGGCAGGAGTGACATTTCTGAACCAATCTAAGAACCAGGCGCTCTGTGAACGAAGACTTCAGAGAACAGCCCCCAAACCAAACTGCCCGCCATCGGGTCGATGCGGACGCACTATAGGTCAGGGCAGAAGTGTCCCTGTGAGTTCCGAGATGGGAACTCTATTTTAAAAAAATACTTTTATTAGGGGCTTATCACAATCCATACATTCCTCCAATTTGTCAAGCACATTTGCACGTATGCCGTCAGCCCCGTCTTTCTCGCCCGGAATGGCTGGTGTTTTCAAACTGCTGACCTTGAAATGAGCAGCCCAACGCGTCAAAATCAAAGATCTTCCCGTGCCCGAGACGACTAGTTGTTAGAAGGGTTAAGTTTTGGAAACAATCTTGGGGGCCGGGCTAGGATGAGAGGAGGGACCAAGTGGGGGCCGGGCTAGGATGAGAGGAGGGACCAAGTCACTAAACTGACTTCCAAGTCAAAGCAGAAGGCGGAAGTGGCCGGTCGCGCCGTCTCCTAGGTAACGCGGCGGGCTGGGGCTCACCTTGGTGTCCACAGTGGGCCCTTCCGTGTAGCCGACCCGCTCCTTGAAGCGGGCCAGGAACGTCGGTTCGGCTGGCCGCACGTAAGACACCTGATTCCGCTTGCTCATGGCGGCTCTGGGGG